GAGAAAGATAATTTATTCAGGTACCTACATGATCATATTAGCGCTCGTGATAAATAATATTTTCATATAATCAGTACTGTAAAACTTAAATCCCATTTCCCAAAGTGAAATAAAGGATACATTCCGCAGACATCTATATAAATAGTGTATGCTTTGAAGCTTGGAATGTTTGAATCCGTACAAATACAAAATCATTAGCCATTCACGTATAAATCGAGAATGATGAACTTTCAACCTCTAAATTTTTAACGCCTTTTTACGACTTGAATTCATCATGTTCAGGACCACTGAGAGTGTTAATAAAGCGAAAGTTGTCAATTTTATCCACATCGCTGGATTAAATCATTCTTTTGCTGCCAAATGTTAATATAATTATAGAATAATATGATAATTATAGGAAAATTATTTAACTAATCTGTATATTTTATCCATCTCCAACCCCTTTATACTCGACTCTACAAGTGATAAACTAGCTTGATCAAAATTATTTGTTAGATTGCTGAAAATTCACTTCTGGTGAATTTATTGCCTGTAGAGACAACTATAAATGGTTTGGAGGTGGATAAAATAAACACATTGGCTACGGAATGTGTCTAGAATTAGGTAGTGAAAGGTAGTTGATTGGCCAATGCTAGAAAGTGGAGAATTCCTCTCCCAAAAGTGTGCAAAAAATATTGCGCCGTAATTTGCACCTTTTTGCATTATGGGATCTGTAGAGTTATGGTTAAAGACAAATATATAAAATCCACAGTAACTTGTGGACAGGACCCCCCCCCCCCCCATATTCAACCCCGGGGCTTATTGGACATTTTTTCACAAATTATATTCATTACACATATTCATCATGTGTACAATATTAAAAAATCGTCAAAACCCCAAAATAATCGCTCCACGAAAAAATACCCCACTATACATTATAAGAGAGAAAGGTATGCAACTCCCGTTTGTTTTCGTTGTACCCTCACTGGTCTTTCTGGGTTTAAAAACATGTATTTATTTTATTTCAACCTGAAATGTCGATTCAAACCGTCTCTACATATATTTCTGTCCTAGTCCATGTTATCGTATTGACTCTGCATCTTGTGAGAATCCCACAATATCTCCTTAAACAATAATCCAGTCAGAACATTGAAATTTCCTTAGGTAATCGCAACGGAAGAGCATAGAGAATGTTTCACTTTTAGGATAACGTCCGAGAGAGTTTTGGCCTGACGTAATAATCTCTCTCGGGTGTTATCATACATTCTATATGCACTTCCGTTGCTTTTACTAAGGGAAATTTCAACGTTCTGACTGGAATGTTGTTTAAGGAATATTGCAGCACTGCATCGTACAGGTTCCTAACTCGGCAATCTATGAGTGTACCAACTTTACAGACATGCGTGAAAAGGACTTCATTCATCCTGATCGTAATACGTCACTAACGGAACACATTCGCGTTGTTCATTAATGGTCTGACAAGAACAATATGTTATAACAAAACCTGAACGTCAAATTTTTGATAGTATACACAAAGTTTTACTCAAGATATTTCATAAGAAAAAGGAAAACAATGAAAATCTTGTTTTAATAATTACATCGTGATGAAGAAATTTGCAAGTATTTTAAAATTCATAATGAAAGAAAATTCTTTCTTTTCTCTCTCTCTCTCTCTCTCTCTCTCTCTCTGGATATATGTGTGATGTGTTCTGCATATATTTCAAGAGAGTTTTCTTGGCGACCTTTGTAAGATAAGACTGCTACGTTAAAAAAAATACTCGTATTAATCTTTACTGTAAAAATAATTGTGATTGTTAAATTATTTAGTAATAAAAATTAAAAATGGAATTTCAACAATATTTATTGAGTTGATTAAAATGAATTCTACATCAAACAACCAATCAGGATTTGGTATACAGAGTCGATGATTGGGGCAGTAAGCCCTGATTACATTGGTTAGAGGTACAGCAGAAGTGACACGTGTAATCTCCGCTGACTGGCACGTGACCATAGTTAGTACAGTGGTCCTGGTCGGAAGTCTGAAGTAACCACTGGTTCCGGCATACAGTCTCGTTCACGCATCTGCTCCAAAGGAAAGATATCCACAAAGTGATAAGCATTAGATCTTCTAACATATATAATGACAAGGGGAACACAGCGGGTGTGACCGATGAACAGGGGATGCTTGCTCCTCCAAGGCACTGATCCCACCACTGGATTTACGAGGTGTCTCTGTTTTTTTATGACTGCTCGTTATATTCAGTTTTTATATATTGATGTTTCATCTATTGGATATTTGTCGCATCATAGACATGTTGCTTGTTTTGTTCTTTCGGTCTTATTAGAAATCTTTATTTTTACAATAGTTATGATCAAAATAAGCATTCAATCAACTATACATTTTGCCACCCTCAACAAGGCCGTAAATTATGTATTATACTAAAGTACTTTCTAAAGTGTTTATAAACATATCTTTATAATTAAAACGGACAACATACAAACATAATTTTGTCACCTTTTGAAGACCTTTGTGTTGGAATAGCTCTGCACTATGTCCGTCATGCAGTAATTTTTGTTGCCTGAACAGGAGACTGTGGGCCCAATGTTAAAACTAAGAGTATCACAAGGAATATCTTTGTTATAGTCCCCGCACACCTGGCATTGAATAGCCGCTGTAAAAATAATACTTTAAAGTAAATATCAGTCCTAAAGGAAGTATTATTGCATGAAATAAACAAATTACCTTTGACTGTAAATGTACGTATTATTTTTTAAACCATAATTATTCCATAACATAACTACACTTTTGAATTATTTGACGTTACTCACGTCGAGGGGTAGTTGTCACAGGTGGCTTATTTTCTTCTACAGAATAAAATAGTTAACTCATTGGACAAGTAAAATTGATGCAAAGCATCAAATCTGCCGCAAACAAAATTAAGCATTTCAAAAAGTACTTTTCACAATTTTAAAAGCATTCGTGAAAAGAAAGCACAAGATATTAAAAGCTGAAATAGTGATCATTTTTACTCCAGACTGTCTTCAAAGCAACATAAATGAATGATTTTTAAAAAGAAATAAATGAATAAAACTTTTAGTTCATTTGCTCATCAAATGGATTCATCGAAGTAATAAAATCAATGATAAATGATAAGAATTTATTGTTATCAAAATAAAGATGTAAGCCTCTGAAGATGCACCACGTGTTGATACCCTGGATCTTAGTCACTTGATAATGCCCATGCATGGTTTCTGCAGAGAAGCCTTCGCAAAATTTACGGAAAAAATTATCCTTGTATCATTCGCAGCTGTAGCATATTCAAAACATTTTTTACTACTTGAACAACTTTTGAATTTTTATTCACCATGCACTTTCGAATTATTTTTACGTTACTCACGTCGAGGGGTAGTTGTCACAGGTGGCTTATATTCTTCTACAGAATAAAATAATAAAGTCACTGGATAAAAAGAATCATAAAATACCGAGATACACTGCTGAATTCATACTTGAAAAGTGAAGCTCAACATGAAAATAATCGAAATCATTCTATCAAAATGAAGCAGTGACATAAATATATTTAAGAACTATTTCTATGGGAAATACCTGTACAGAGGTTACAAGTTGACCTACACTGCAGGAAAGCAATATCGTAATTGTATCTTTGTTCTGACATTGCATGGCACACACCGTACCCTTTTAAAGTGTCACAATTTGTTATCCTATCGGAGCAGTTACTTGGAGGACCTAAAACAAAGTTACAGTAATTTTATTTTTAGAATTGCACTTCAAAAAGTTCATTTTAAAAATTATGAAATAAAAATCAAGATTGTTTTTTTTTTAATCTTCTTCTAGACTTTTAAAAGCCCTTTGCATTGCACTGTAAAGGGTTACACGAAGGATTTACTTTTTAGATGAGTGACTTTTTTTTCTACAGCAAAGGCCAAATGCTAAAATCAAATCAATATTTGAATGAAATAAAAAAGAATCATACGACGAAGTAATTTAAAAATCTAAAACATATAACATAAACATACTTAGTATACTGAATGGAAAAAGAAACGCATAATAGCATAATAGCGAAAAATATTTAACAATTTGGCAGAAAATTATAATAATTGGTCAGATGTGTGTTTTGGTTACTGTGCACTAAAATCGATGGTCAAAATTACTCAACCATGTAATGTATGGTGTCACGCAGGGGAAGTAATAAAATGCCAAATACACGTGCATGTTGATGAGGACAATTTTGTGATCACATTTTGTAGTACCAAGAGATGCAGTAGAGTTATAGACATCGTTTTCCGATATTTGCAGTCAGTATAAATTTCATGCAATCATGGTATGGATGACGGAAGTTACATTGGGTCTAGTAATTGAGTTGCATAAGTGAATAAAAAGGCAACAACATGTTGCTGTGCAGTTTGTTTTTAACTTTTCAACCAAAAAAGTTTTTTCGGTTGTCAGAGAGTAATTTTAAAAGGTTTCCAACCAACCCTGAGGGTGACGTTGGCACGTAACAACGTCACATTAAGATAGGGCTTTTCATCATGCTACCTCGGTTATTGTCAAGTCATTATCACTGAAACCGATATTTTTACGGCAGGCAATCCTACTCATATTTTCACACTAATACTGACAGAAACTCTCTGCTCTATTTTGGTACTCAAGCTTGGCAACTTTACGTCGATTTTACTCTCACACGCGCACGTACGCGCCGTATACGTATTGTTTTTAGCATGTTCACGCTGAGAAAATGTAGCCAGTATTTGTCGATACTTCCATTCACGTGTACCAAATCAGCTAGATTCTGTAAATTCTATCCTTAATCGAAAATTCGTGGGATTCATTGGGCGGGGGATTTGTTAGCTTTGGATTAATACAGCTACTCTCAACCATTAAGACTATCGTCAGAAGGCTTGAATGATAATCCTTGAGAAAGATAAATGCTCTGGTGAACTCAATGCACAAGAAAATCAAGGCTGTTACTGATGCCAACGGAGATGATAATTTTTATTTTAATTTTGGAGGGACCCACATACCAATTTCAATAACTCGGGAAATTTTGTCAAAATCACACAAGATTTCGGTTTCTTGTTGTTTAATGTTGAATTAAAATGTTTGATAACAATACTGGAAAACATATTGGAAATAAAAGTTTTAATTTTATTCTAAAGTTTATTATGCGTTTCTTTTTCCTTTCAGTATATTTTGCAGTCATAAAAATGAAATAGAAGACAACTATAATTATTAGTAATACGTTCGACTTATGTCAATTAAAATCCTGCAGTTACCAATTGAAAATGAAATAGTTGTCGCAGAAGAAACAAATCCAGTTGTTCCTCTGGGGGTCAGAGGAGTTATAGCTTCTGAAGAATTTGCTCTTAAGGACAAGGGAGAATATGTACTGCTTGAGGAAAGGGATTGTTGTGGTGGTCGTAGTGTAGGAAGGTGAAGTTGAAAAGGAAATTGTTGTTGGCGTGGCTACACTAGTGTGCTTAAATGTGATTGGATTAGAAGTGTTGAACTTAGTATGCCCTGGGAATCCTGTCGTCGTTGGCAACGTGGTTGATGATCGAAAGGTTTGAAAATACTGTTCATACGCCCCAACTGTAACAATATTTAATATAAAAAAGTATGACAAAACTAGAGGTACTGTGAGCAATGAGCTCACTAAATGATACCCCCTGTCTTCCATATGAATAAAATAGCAGTGTCCATGTTTTGCTGTTGGAAACCCAAAAAATGTGTCGGATCAAAAAGTAAAGTAGGAGATGCATAATGGCATTATGTAATAAAGATTGTTTGAAAGTTTCATCAAATGTCATTCAGTGGTATGAGAGGAGTTGTGGATAAGAGATGGGTACCCCAAAGCGTAACTGACACACGGACGGGTGTACAGACAAACAGACAGACAGACGGACGGACATTTGTCAAAATGCGTAAACAAAAGGCGTTTCATTTGAATATTTTCATTCTAAGGAATTTAATGTAACGTAATACTAGTATATAATGCTTAGGGTTAATCTTATCTGCTTATTTATCTTCACAGACCATGGGTTTTTTGTCAGTACGGCTCCCCTCCCCACACCAGATACACATAAAACTGCCTTTGTTTCATACTTTGTATATCTTTTAAACAACAATATTAGTAACTTGGTAATTGATTTATATCCATGTTTAGCCATTGACGCATAATTATCCTCTGATTATGTGGTCTTTGATTAGCTGTGATGGAGAGTGATTTAACATGAGGTGATGATGAACATGGCAAAGAAAGTAATGCAGGCACTTACTAATACACTGTACAGTTCTACAACAGATTAAGCCAGCTCCATCTGTACAATTATCCTAAAAAACAAAATCTTCCATCAGGTTGAAATTTCATGCATATTATCTGAGCAGGGTTTTTATGAAATATATGGAGATAACAAGCAGTATTCAAGCTCAAAAGTCCATAAAACAATACAAAATTTGAGTAGAGCACACAAGGACCTCCAAAACATCAGAGGGGGGATCAAAGACGGAGGAGTGAGTCCCCCCTGCTGACCGGTCACAACCGCCGTGTGTTCCTTGTAGGATCGGGGAATTCGGAAAAAATCCACCGTCAATTCAGTGTGTAAATAATGGCCTAACAATTAATATGAAAAAAGTCAGTCAGCATTTGATTCAGTGATAAATTGTTTATTGCAAAGTCATTGTATCTACCATAGAACTTACGAAATGATGACTTTAAATGTGACTGCTGGCTGATATTCTTGTTTCATCAACTTGTTTGTCAATAATTTACTTTGCTGAAGAACTGTAGCTCTCCGAAAAAATATTACAGACCGGAGAGCTACAGTGCCACATATTGAACTGTACATTTATCATTCACAAAAAAGTGCGCTGTTTCTGATTCATTTCTTCGTGTTTTTAAAATGTCCCCCCCGATTATTACTAACCTGTATTCCTAACATATTTTTTCACTGTTTCCACAACAAAACATACCTTATAATTAGGGTATGTTAACAGCCCTTCTGGGCCTAAATTTAGATCATGATAAATTTTTTATTCATTCTGCCATTTTGGTTTGCAAGATAATTCGGTCCAACACGCTTAATGCAGATGTTAACTACAAGAACAACAAGAATACCTGATAAAAGGGGTATAAGGAAAATTTTGAAATTTAGCTTTTTTGCAATTGGGGTAAGAATTTGGGAAGAATTAATCCAGAACCAACTTTTTTTGCGCAATAAATATAGTTTTTTCAGTGGATGGCACCTTAGCTCTCCGGTCTGTCAATATACATTTTTTCGGAGAGCTACAGTTCTGCAGCTTTAATTTACTTTGTTTTAGAAATTGTACATACTTAGATCATGCTCTTGGCGTATCGAATCAAATATGAAATTTGATTTTAAAAAACCCAATAATGGTTATTTCCATTCTCATGTGTATACGATATACTAGTATCCCGGTGAGCAGAAATAAAGATACCACAGAGTCGGACACATCCGTTTCATATTTGGCTATTTTACTTTAAAAAGACGTTAATGGTGAATCTAACAACCACGCTCTTTGACAAAATACACGACTCTAACTTTTCAATCGTCAACTTCCCTTTCTTATACAGCAATATACCTACATCACATGCACTTAGGGGGTTTATATCTATTAGTTAATTTGATACAGCACACTTTAAGGAGTAAGAACAATTTTTAATACTATGCAAGTTAATGACAAACATGAAAGAATACTCAAGATTCTCGTTTAATGTCATCATTTTGGAAATTCTATGGTCGATACAATGTCCTGATCAGCATATACTATTTATCATTGAGTCAAATACTGACTAATGTTTTCCATACTAATGGTTAGTCCAATATATATACTGAATTGACGATGGATTCCGTTATTTTTCGATCATGACAAGGAGAACACTGCGAGTGTGACCGGTCAGCAGGGGGATGCTCTTTCATCCATAACACTTGATCCTGCCCCTGATGTTTTGGTAGTTCGTGTTTGCTATTCTCCTATTTTGTATTGTTTAATGAACTTTTGAGCTTGAATACTTTTCGTTCTCTTCATATATTTCTTCTAGCTTACAAAGATTATGAGATTAGTCTTTAAACTTTAACTCTGTCACAGACAAGTGCATACATTTACATTACAAAAACATGTATAAAACCCGCTTTAGATTTATAATAAATGAGAGACTATGAGCGTTATGAAGTTGTAGTGAAGTTGTTCATTACCGTAATGTCACAGTGAGTCATTGGCATTATCGATGCATTATTTGAATCATATGATATTTTGCACACAACACATTTGGTATTGTTTTGGAAGTCACACTGCCCGTTCCTACACATTGGGCATTCCACCATATTCAGTTCTCTGGTTGTCTGTACTGCCGTTGTACTAGTTCCTGTAGTTGGTAGTGTGGTTACTTGATGTGACGAAGGCGGAGTTGTTGAAATCATCCAATAACTGGATCCAAAGGCCTGCTCTAATCATGGTTATTTTTGTTACATGGAAAATTTCACTTTTAACTGTATTTTTTGTTTCAATATTCGAACACCGAATATTTCGACATCTATTCTTTTTTTTAGTTAAGACACACTTTTTTCACGATTTTGATTTTGATCTAAATATTGAAATGAAAAAAGTAAAATATGTCAATATGTGACAATTACTAACCTAAAATATAATTTTAGCAAACAAAATTGAGTTCAGTTTATCACAAACCTATACATTTGATATCTCGGCAACAATGATGAGTATCGTCTGTGTGACATTGCTGTTCCTTTGATAGAAAAATCATCTTTGGTTAGTTTGATATTTTATTCAATATTGGTAATACAATGCAAAAGTGAGATGTGGTCAATTATCATTAAACAAATAATTATCGTCCTAAACAGACGTAAACAAACAGACTAAAAGGACCTCGTAGATATATACCTGCTGTAAACATTTAAGATGAGGAGGGCTGTGGTCAGTGTGGTATTGACATTTATCACAAAGCGAGTAGTGGCATTTACCATTGTGATCACAACTTGGACAGAAATTAAAGTTTTCTAAAAAAAAAATCCTAAAAGATCATCATATGAAAACAGTTTGTAATAAACGTATAATGTGAATAATCTTAATGACGAAGCGTTAAATTACGTTTTTCCTTCTCTTTACCACCAATGTTTTGTCCTTTTACAAAAAGATATATGCATGTACAGATTATGCAAAATAATAGTGTTCTTACTGCAGTATCAAAATACTTGAAATAAATGTCAAATGGCAGATCTTTAGTCAGAAAAATTTTAAAATACAATGTGGCTTTTGCTTCAATGGGAACAAAAATGTGTTTGTGATGTCCCGGATGCCCCTGTATGGCAACATAGCAAATGTTAAATTTTCTTAAAAGAAAATTCACTGGAAATACAATTCTGAAATATGAAAGTAGGCCAAGGTCAACTTTTTTTCATACTCCGGAAATATCCAAGGTCAAAGTTAAAAGATCAAGATAATTGGTATCCAATGAAAGGTCTTACCACAATAAATACATATTTTGAAGTATGAAATCCCTAGCCCTAACCAAAAGTTATGGCCAAGGTTAAAAATTTTAAAAAGTAGCTCAAACTCAAAGGTCAAAGAGTCAAAGATCTTGCTATCAAATAAAAAGTCTTGTCAGAAGGATTAAAAATGTAAAGTATGAAAGCACTATACTTAACCCTTTAAAGGTTATGGTCAAGGTTTGTTTTTTTATAAGAGGGTCAAACTCCAAGGTAAAAGGGGTTTAAATTTCTTGTTATCCGATGAAGGGACTATTCACAAGAATTACATATGTGAAGTTTAGATTACAAACCCTTACCCTTTCAAACATTATGGCCAAGGTTAAAAGTTTTTTCAAAAGCACAAAAATTTCCAAGGTCAAGGTCAAAGGGTCAAGATAATTTGTATCCAATGAAAGTTCTTGCCACAAAAAATACAAATTTGAAGTATGGAAGCCCTAGTTTTAACAGAAGCCCTTCAGAATTTATAGCCAAGGTTAAAAATTTTAAAAAGTAGGTCAAACTCCAAGGTCAATATCAAAGGGTCAAAGGTCTTGCTATCAAATGAAAGGTCTTATCACAAGGATTAGATATGTAAAGTATGAAAGAACTAGTCCTAACCCTTTAAAAGTTATGGTCAAGGTTTGCTTTTTAAAAGTAGGTCATACTCCAAAGTCAAACTCAAAGAGTCAAAGTTCTTGGTACCCAATGAAGGTTCTTCTCACAAGGATTACATATTTGAGGTATGAAAGCCATCCCCCTTTACCTTCAAAAGTTATGGCCAAGTTTAAAGTTTTTTCTTAAGGGCATACGCAACGTCCCTTTACCTCCTGAAAATTTTTTCAAGATATTCTAAATTTTAACTTATAATACCATTACATGTTCTT